ATACAGAGTCGATCATCAAGAAGTTTGGACAGGAGACTGCGCAGCCGTGCTCTACCCCATTGGAAGCTCGAGTTCATCTTATCAAGCCCGACGAAACTCAGACCGAAGGCGACAAGCAGGATGAAGTCAAAGCCGTACCGTTCACTCGAGGCAGCCTGATGTACCTAGAATGTCGTACACGGCCTGGCATCTCGATCGCCGTTGCTTAGTTGAGTCGTTTCTTTAAGAGCCCCGGACAGAAGCACTATAATGCTGGTACTAGGGTGGCTCGCTACTTGCTAAAAAAAAACAAGGATGTGGGCATCATTCTGAGCTCGTGGCCTACTCAGATGCAGATTGGGCCGGCAATGGTGACGACCGACGCTCAGTGAGCAGTCTGATGCTCATGGTGTGTGGTGCTCCTGTTGTGTGGCGCTCAAGTTTTCAAAAGTCTGTGGCACTGAGCTTTACTGAGGCCAATTGCATTGCGCTCAGCGACTGCGTGAAGGAAGTGGTGTAGATGCGACTTCTACTCAAGGACATTGGCTCGAATCAAGATGGTGGAACTGTGATCTACAAGGACAATCAAGGTGTCATGGCATTGCCCAAGAAAACTGGTTACCAAGCACGCACCAAGCACTTCGACATTTGCTACCACTTCATTCGCGAGAAGGTTGCAAGTGGTGAAGTTGATCTGGCCTACCCGAAGTCCAAGAGCCAACTCGCGGATTTCTTGACTTAGGGTTTGTCATCCAAGACTCTACGCTACTTGATGACGCGCAGCAACATCATACCCGTGCTCGAGACATCGAATTGAATGGAGGTGTTGTAGGTGCACTTCACTGTCTACTCTCCTTGATACCTTCCACAGCCTGTGCACACTGTACACGCGTGGTGGACGTGTGCCACGTGGCTCTCCAGTTGAAGTGGGGGTAAATGCTGCGACCTTACTGGACCATACGGGTTGAAGTTTGCCCACCGTCTGATTTGCATGGATGTCACGTGCATTTTTGTGTGTTTTGTAAACGAGTTTGTATACAACTCCCTGTTGCAAGATACATTAGTGCGAAGGGAGATGCCTGCAAGAAGGTACTAGGAGAGCTGCATGTGTAGGATGAAACAAGCAAGACTAGGATTTCTAACTAAATTGATCTCACTTTCAGATTTCCATTCATCTGCTCACATCGTCGTTCGCATACTCTTAATTTCCTCGGATAATTAGCCTTCACTTATCTGCACCTCACTTGAATCACGCTTATTAATCGTTACTTGCTAAGCAAAAGCAGATATGCACCAACAACCAGTTGTGCACAACGAAGCACATATCATGCTAATTTTAAGGGTGTATTACTACTATTCAAATCTGACAATTACTTTATCATCTTAAAAGTACTGAATGGTTATCCTGTCCGCTCTATGGATCCTGACCCGATTTATTATTAGGTTTGGGGCGTAATCGAAGTATCTATACTCTGGTGCGTACCGATATCAAATGGCAGTGTTCACGATCCTCGCCCTTGATTTGCAGAATATCCCTTTCAAACCTTGAGAATGAAGCGCTGTCGAGGTGTCCGGCAAGATTACATCGGCGATAGAACAAGTTTATGAATCCACCCGGTACCACCGAACGAATAGACGAAGCGAGGTTTGCTTTCATCTCCAATTCGGAGGAGTCTACTGCGGTCCACAATACTGAAGAGCATGATACACAGGGAACGCTCGCTACTGAATGTAATTCTCCAAATCAGGTGATGACGCAGACGGTGAGCTGCTGTCGTTTTTGACCGATGCCGATATTGCCAAGCAGGAAGCAATTGGTGCTGTGTTGGAACTTACAAGTTTACATCGATGCCTGATACCATTTTCTTTTGTCTCTGCATAGGCATCACGTAATGCAAACATTGAATCCCTGATCACTCCTTTTCATGTTGCTTTTTTTAATGGTCCTTGCAGTTACATCTCATCAATCCTCACTCGATTAATGTAGCTACTGGTGCATGTCGTTCGGTGTTGTACCCTTCTTTGCTTGGTGATGCGATTGCAGCGCACGTTCATATCCATCTTCTCCCTATCGGCTAAAACGTTTGTATGGTTCGGAACCTCAAATGGTTTAAAAAAAGCACAAGTATCGATAAAAGACAATTGAAAATACTTTTAAACCGGTATTAAGTGTTGGTTTAAAAACCGGGCTAATTTATAAGCAACACTCGCGTCACCGATGAAGAAGAGTAAATATACTCTTTCATTAAATTTTGTGTGTAAACGAGACGGTATCGCCCTTTCTACTTTAACTAAAAGGATTTGTGGAAGCATTGCTTTAGTACCGTGCTTTATGAAGGGGGGGGG